ATCCATGGACCATTGAATAGCCATTAAAAAACATGATAATAATGATACAAATTGGGAAATAAGACTGTTCGCGTGACATTTAGGTAAAAAAGTTGGTGAACAATGACACTTTGGTCACTGTTCCAGAAGGTTGTAGGTGTTTTGCTAAGATAGAAAAGAGATGGAAAAAGTGAGAGATCAAGTGCCCAAAATGTGAGGTCCTCGAGGGATGGTCAAAAGATAAGTAGGGAAGGATATGATTGTCGCAGGGTGAGGGGAAGTTTTTCAATTGATGAGACTGGGCTAGAGGAAAAAGATAAAAATGCCCTTCTTGGGAAGGGTGGCTAATGTAAGGACAAGGGTATTTTTGGAAGTTCAGGAAAAAAATAAAATAAAATAAAAGAAACACATAATAGATAATAAAATAGAATTAGTTTTGGGGGTTAAGTATTAAGGTAGGAAAATTATTATTTATCATTGTCATCATTATATCTTGAATTTGTATTATTCTACATTTATTTTTTTTCTCTTTTTTTTCCTAGTAACTCAAGGTATTACATTGAGCTAGACCACACACGATTGAGTCTGATCCAATAGTTATTTGGGTCTTCTTTGAAGTGAGTGTTGTTGGATGATGGCTTTGCAGGATGTTTCAGCAGGATCCTTTGTCGGAAGGAGAATCTGGTGCTGGTAGGCTTGATTGTCTAAGATAAATATAAGGGTACCTACAAGGCATTTCGACACTCAAGTCAATATATGAGCTATGAGCTTAAGTTAAGATGGAATAAATGATCATACCTAGGCTTCAAGCCTTCATTATATAGTGATCAGTTGTCCTACTTATGCTGCCTTCCTTTTTGGTCAACAGAAGTGGCTCTTACAACCTATTCCTTATATATAATGTCTACTTGTGGGCTACACCTTATAGAATTAACTGGAACTGGGTGCTTATTCTTCAGCTATTGGCTATTAGGAGGGCTCAAAACACCACAATTAAACCCAAAACCTTAAGGCATTAGGTGAACGAGTTCTTCCACTTATATGGTGCTTACTTAGTTCATTCTTAACCAATATGAGACTTTTTCTCTCAATCATTCACACTTGAATTCTTCAACAATTTGTTGTATATTGTTCAAAATAAAAGCATAGTTGTTATTCGTATTATAATTGTCGCATAAATTTTTTCCTATTGAGGTGTTGGATGAAGTAGTTGACCAATGTAAACTACAAGCATTTTTTTATTTCATTTTTTATTTTCTATATAAGCAATTGCGAAAGAAAATTCATTATAATATATTTGACAGTACTACACTCATCAATTATAATTGTTATGTGGTTGTATATTTGATATTGCTTTCTATTTTTAAATAGAGAGATTATACTTATTACCTTTTTTTCTTACTACTTCTTACTACCAAATCTTAACCATTGATTTCCGTCAATCTAACGGTTAATTAATAAGTGTGATCCAATAAATTATAACCGTTAGATTAACAGAAATCAATGGTTAAGACTTGATTGTAAGAAGTAGTCAGAAAAAAAGATAGTAAATATAACTCTTTCTCTTTTAAATATTCATGCCACTATTTTTAGTAAGATATAATAAAAACAATGTTTAAGAGCTAAAAAGCTCTTATAACCATGTATGATTTATGAATTCAAACTTTGTGAGCTCGTTTGTTTTGCCTTCCAAAAAAGGTAGTTTTTTTTTCTTATTTTAAAAGTGTTTTTTACAAAAGCTAAAGCTATTTATATTTTTATAAAAATATTTGGCTTTTGACTTTTGCCTCTTTTAGAAGTTAAAATTTTTAGCTTCTAAAAAAAAAAAAAAAGTTTTTGACTTTTTTTATGACTTCTATATTTTTAGAAAAGACATCCAAACAAACTTAAAGTGTGAAGTGTTTTTTTCTTAAAAAAAGAGCAGCTTTTAGAGAAAAAAAAGTCCATCCAAACAAAAAAGCAGCTTTTAGAAAAAAAAAAAAAATCATCCAAACAGATCAAGGCGAATACTATTTTAATGTGAAAATTAACATATAATAAGCTTTCTTTAACTACGTCAATATAACATGATTTGATAATAAACCCATTTATTTAGAATTCGTTTATATCGTTTAATTCTAGCTAATGACATGAAATTCGTACATGTTATGTTGATTCGGTACAACAGGAGAGCATTTATGTTCTCTTTTTTTTTTTGTAATAAAGAGGGGCAAAAGCCCCAAACAAAACAAAAATTATACGACGCGAGAACTTAAAAGATCTACAGAAGCATCCTGAAGAAGGAGCTCTAACAAAGGAGAAGGAGGAGAATGATAAACAATAAGATTATTATCATCCTCAAAATGCCTAGAAGCAAACCAGTGAGCACATCTGTTATTTTCTCGAAAGGTGTGGACCCAACGAACATCCCAATCTTCAGCAAGCCATTTGTGAATACGGGAAACAACCTGAGAGTTTCTGTGATTGTTGCTCCCTTCTTGGATAGTGCTAAGAGCAATTTCTGAGTCACATTCCAACTCCACTCTCCTAGCACCAGTACCCCAGGCCAACTCTAAACCTTTGAGGATACCCCAGAGTTCTGCATCAATAGGATTACAGAAACCTAATCTGAAAACCACCCAGAAAAGCACCATTGTGATCTCTAGCAAGGCCTCCACAGCTAGCATGCTGCCTAGATAGGGAAGAAACACCATCTGTGTTAATCTTCAACCGACCAGGTTCAGGACGACACCATTTAGTAGGCTGATGGGCATTAGGGAAGCTGTCAAGAATGCTTCTATTCTTACCTCTAGCTTCAATTAAATGCGCAATAAAATCAAAAATGACACGCTTATCATTGCTTGGCCTTCGAAAACTATCATCATGAATATGATGATTACGCCAATTCCAAAGATTCCAGCAAGTAGTATAGAAAACATCTCTCCAATCAACATGAATTTGATAATTCCAACCCTTACTCACATTTTTTATGAGCCAAGACTGTAGGTCTAATGTGAAGAAATCGTTGGGGACCCTTCTACCAAACCAATCTATCCACAATCTTTTGGCTTGAGAACAATCTCTAAGGACATGAATAAGAGTTTCTTCACTATTTGGACAGTTAATGCAAAAATTAGGACCCCCATTCCATTTGCATGTACGACTCCTAACTGGAAGCTTATTAAGAAAAGCCAGCCACATCATAGTCTTGATTCTTTCTGGACCCTTCCAGTGCCAAATCTTCTTCCAGGGAACATTCCTTTGAGCATGTTGAAAATTCATCAAGTTCAAGTAGGCAACCTTAACTAAGGAAGAGGACACATGATTCCGACTCCAAACTAACCTATCCTCAGTGTTATCTTCCAAAGCAACAGGAGCGCAAAACACCTTAGAGATTAGCTCATCATTTAAGAATTGTTTCAAATATCGAACATCCCAGGTACCATGCTGAAAGATCTCAGCAATGGTTCTATGCAATTCCAGATCAGGAATATGATTAGGAGCTAAATTACAAAGATTATCATCCAGATTCAACCAATTATCCGCCCAGAATTTAATAGTCTCTCCATCACCCACCTCCCATCGAAGACCGGCTAAAAAACTGTTCCAACATTTAGAAAGGTCCCGCCAAAGTTTAGAATCATAAGGCTTAGAGCTTATCTCACGCCTCAAATCTTTACCTCTGCCATACTTGGCTCTCAAAATCTTAACCCAAAGTTCCTCCTTGTCAGTTAAGATTTTCCAGGCCAACTTATGAATATAAGCCTCATTTTGAGTACGCAATCTGATAATACCAAGACCTCCCATTTCCTTCGGCTTATACATTGTGTCCCAAGCCACTAAATGAGCTTTATTAACACCCCAAATGAAGTTCCGTTGAAGCTGTTCAATCTCATCACACACAGAAGTGGGAAGAAGACCATTCTGCATATGAAAAGAGGGAATAGCACCAATCACTGATTTAGCCAGAGAGACTCTCCCCGCAAAAGATAAACTTTGATGCTTCCAGCCATCAAGTTTCTTACGAACCCGATCCATTAGATCAGCATAATTTGATTTCAAATTACGCCCTTGCCTGATAAAAGAGCCCAGATATTTACCAATGCTACTAACTCTTTTGAACCCAGAGAGCGCAGAAATTGCATTTGCAGTTGCATCAGATGTATTGGAAGAGAAATAAATGGTAGACTTATGAACACTTATACTTTGACCAGACATTCTGCAAAAAAGATCTAAACATTCCATTATTACCTGCATTTGCTGCACCGAAGCTTCAGAGAAAAGGACAATATCATCTGCAAACATGAGATGGGAGATTGCTGGACCACCTCTACACACTCTGATCGGTTTCCACACACCACTGCCAACCCTTTGAGCAATAAGATGAGATAGCTTTTCAAATGTTCTCTTATTTGTCACAAACAATCTTAAAGTACCTAAATACGAGTTCAAATATCTTTTACTAGTGATATTGCATAAAGTACTTACATATTGATATATATACCTAGATAAATTTAGGATGGCCAAATCGTCACGGAGGCTGAAATTATTGAATCAAAGTTCTCTCCTCGATCCGCTATCATTACTTCGTTGGCGGTCCATTAATGATTATTTCTCCATTCTAGGATGTCTATAATAATAATAATGAAAATTGTATCAAACCCAAATTTTATTTTAATTTCTATTATAAATATTTCTAATTTAAGATATTATTTTATTACACAACAACTTCATAAATAAAAAGTGACTATGTAATATATTTAATTGCTTGTAAACTACAATTGAGCAATTTAATTTGTACAATTATTTTATAACACTCATGTTGGTTTTGCTAACATTTATAAAGAGGGTTAACTTGTTATAACTTTAACTTAGTCTGAATTTTTTTTCTTTTTTATTTGGGTTTTCACTGACACAAGAGATAAAGTTGATATTAATGTTGATGCCGATATTGAAAATTAATGTGATATGAATTAATTAATTATTTTTATTATTAATCATTAATAAATTTTAATTTTTAGAATATTTGTAATTTGGTTAGGTTTAGCGTCTGTTCAATTTCTGGTTCATGTTCTAAACACTGAGAATACAAGGAACGACGAACACATGGACATAGCTATCTTCTCTCCATCCTCGCTCTTCTCCGAAGAAGATGACACTCCTACTCGTAGTCTCTCTTCTTCTTCTTCTTTAACTTTCGGTTTCCATCCCTAACTTCTGGGATTCTGAATGCAGGCGAGGAAAATGCAGAGACCCTGGAAAACTATGTTGAGAGGAAGCACCAGTTTCCTGGAATGGTAAAGTTTTCATCTTTAATATTAGCAATAGCTGTTTTTGCATATTCATCATGTGGGTTTGTTTTGGGGAATGTCAAATTCGTAGTATGTAGATAATTTTAGTTTAATTGGGTACTATTTGTGGATTTAGCTGAATTTTATTGTGCACTTTGTTTCGGGTTCACTTTACAGGAGCTGAGTTTGCAGTTGAAATAGGTGTTTGTTTGTTTTAAATTTTTTTTTTATTGGGTTGCTTAGTATGAGAGGTTTGTTGCTAGAGGAGCTGTGAACTTAAAATGGCACTGGGGTAGATTTGCCTCAATGGAAATGCAATTTAATATGTGTTGGAAGGGTCAAAATTTGGGCTGAAGGGTTCTACAGTGAGGAAGACGGAAATGTTGAAAGCTAGTGAATAATGTTGCTTAGTTAATTGGAAATGGGGATGACCTAAACATGTAGGGTCTCTATAATCTTAGAAAGCCGTTGTTTTTTTTAGAATTTATGCCCTTATCAGGCAACCCATCCATTGTTTCAGAAAAATTAGGTGTGCTAAGCCGCTGGGATTGGTTTAGTGGTAAGGGATTTAGGTAGTTTGCTTAAGGTCATAGATTTGAACCTCAAAGCCACCATTGTTTCAAAAAAGAAACATTAGGTGTGGTTGGTTGGGATGAAAACAAGGGAAGTAAATATCAATATTCCCTTGCTTCCTGGGTATGAGAGTAAAGGAGTAGAGATGAAGTTGCCATCATTGCATTTATACACAGTACAGTTTTTTTATCTCTTAATTAGGCTATAATCAAAATGAAATTTTAATGTCAAGTGTTCAAATATAACAAATAAATGTTTGCAATAATATGCTTCTATAATTTGCTCATTGAAGGATAATATGGTACATAGATTTTTTCTTCACCAATTTCAATGTAACCGTGCTAGAGCAAAAATAAAGGGCAACCTAGTGGTATAAAGCTCTTGCTCTACGCAAGGTGAAGGGAACAGCCAGATCCATTGTGTGGGTTTATAGTAGCCAGCCTTACCTTATAGTTGCAAGAGGCTGATTACATGATTCGACCCTGTGACCTCTGGGTCACACGGCGACAACACCTACAGTTGTGCCAAGGTCCCCCTTCATAACTGTGCTAGAGTAATGAATATATTTTTTAATATTTACTTTTCATTCCCTTATCTATTTTCCACCATCTCACTTTCTCTCAATTTCACCCAGTACTCCAGAAGGCATTGAAACTTTTCCTCACTTCAACTATTGCATCATGTAATAAACTAAAACATTGTAACAATAATTGGGAAAAGGATTACCAGTACTTGGGGCCTGTTTGGATGAGCTTTTTTTCAGTCAGAAGTTATTTTTTTCCCTAAAAAAAGCACTTTTATTCTAAAGTGTGTTTGGATGCTGCTTCTAAAAAAAGCAGAAGTCATAAAAAAAGCCAAAAATTTACTTTTTCCAGAAGCTAAAAATTTTAGCTTCTCAAAAAAGCAAAAGTCAAAAGCTAATTTTTTTTTTCAAAAAATAAATATTTTTTAAAAAATCTAAATAGTTTTAACTTTAATGAAAAGCACTTTTAAAATAAGTAGGGCATAAAAGTAACTTTTTTTTAAAGGCAATCCAAACGCACTCTTGGTCCCATATTATCCAAATAACTGTGCTGTGGTTTTTGAGCAAGCTATTATTTGAAGTGTGTTGTTGACTGAGAAGGTTCGTGATTAAGAATGCTATCAGCCTATCAGGATGCTGCACACAGTTTGTGTTATGATCCAATTGCAAGGTATAGGATTCGAGTCCTACATTAGAAGCATGGGATTCTGATTTGAGGTTTATATGGACTTGGCCTCTCCCACCCCAATGGCTACCTTTGTGGTGGTGTGGTTCTCCCTAGGTTTGAATTACGTTGCCCTACTTTCTTGTTGATTAACGTTTCAGCTAGGCCTGCCCACTAAGAGGGCCTCACTATTAAATCAATAATCTGACAAGGTATTATATTGTAGATTTTGTCTACTGTACTTCATGAGTATGCCTGTCTATTTTTGTGGAGCCAATTTTGCTTTTGCTGTTCTTTCTGTTGAGACTGTCATTTTGCCTGTGTACTGTATGGGTGGGTTTTAGAAAGACAAAACTTTAGTTGTGTTTTTTTTTTTTAATAAAAAAATCCTTTGGCTTTATGCTTTATAGCTCAAGTTTTTGAATTAGACATGCTAGTTTATGCAAGTACTTGAGGAATTGTTAGCACGAACTTGCATTGTAATGGTCTGATTTGCTTTATGCCTTAATGTTTTATGCAGGATTTGATTATCCGAGAATTTTCCTTTCATCAACTGAATGCCAATTTACTCTGGCCAGGGACATTTGCATTTGCAGAATGGTTAGTTCAGCACAGTAAATGCATTGAAGGACGGCATGCCATTGAGTTGGGGAGGTATTTCAATTACTTGTAAATAAATTTATTTGTCTAAGCTATAGTTATTTGCAAAAAATAGAAGTCTTGCTCAAAATTTTCGAAGTGAAGGGATCTTCGCTCGATCGCATGATGTTTGCATCAAGTTGTGCATCTATTTATAATCACTCTTGGTTGAACTTGAACATTTTATTTTTGTGACTAGAAGACTTAACAGCTATCTCTTACAGAAATGTATTACCATTTTTGTAATTAGGGATGGAGCATTGATCCTTGTTGGGTGATTAAATTAAAGAGGGATTTATGTTACCATGAGATACATGTCACTGAAAAGCTTGTGATTTTAACAAACACTGTAAAATAATGAACTTAGTTTCCATATGTTTATCTCATAGTTTAGCTCACCAGTCATCAAAACACCCTGAATAAAAAATGAGCCCTTTCATGTCATATGATTTCATATCTTGTGTAGATATCTCTCCACATTTCAGATATTTGATTTTTTTTCTTTGCTCATGTTTGTCCAATTTCAGTGGCACAGGTGCTTTGGCCATATTTCTCCGAAAATCTTATAATCTTGATATTACAACTTCGGATTATGATGATCAAGAAATAGAGGAGAACATTGCTCACAACTGCAGGGCAAATACAATACCTGTCATTCCTCACATAAAGCGTTAGTCTTCTTTCAATTGTCCTAGTTGTCTTTTGCTTCTTAATTAGCTACTGCGAAGGATTCCAAGGTAGTGATTTTTTGTTTTCTGGGTAGTTTTTCCGTACTGATTGTAGTTTAAAATCTTTTATGCCATAAAACAAATATTTTTGTTTGATCCTTATCATTGCTTAGTTAACATAACTTGATGCCTATAAATGAGGATGAAATCTGATTGTTATGCCTTGACATTCCCCATATGTGGATGATTTTTACTCTACATTTTCTTGATTGTGAAAAGCACTCCAGAATTCCTTTGTATCTTTAGAACTGACTAGTCATACATACTACCTTACTTGGTTTGCATCAAATTTTCTCATTTGTTAGAATTAAGCATATGTATAATGAATAGCATTAGTTGTAACTACTTGTACGTGCTAAGTGCTGATTAGCTCTAATATTGGAGATGATTTCTCTTATAATTAATATTGTACATAATATAAGTATGTAGACCTATCCGAGTAAGCCTGATAAGTTGTGTCATAAACCAACTATCTCAAAAGCTTAAGCTGTTAGGTGAAGGTAGAGGAGTGATTTTATATTATATTTCTAATACGCTCCCTCAAACAAGAACCCATTAGACTTGAAGGGTAGACAATGCATAGACCCACCTACTTGTGTTAAGAAATTCAATAATATTTATTAGAAGATTATTAGAAAAATGGGGCAGTAAGGATTATACTCTGGACCTCTTGGTCACAGAGGCCTTGATACCATGTCATGCAACCAATTCTCCTAAAAGTTTAAGCTGTTGGGTGAAGCCAAAAGCTTAAGCTGTTGGGTGAATGCTCATTAATGGTTTTATTATATATTTCTTGCAAGTTGATTGCTCAATTTGATGTACTTATGCCCTTCACTTATAATGTTGACAAAGATGATGAACAACATGCCCTCTCATCTACTTTTTGCCTGACCATCATGTAACCCTAACCATAGCATGTCTCCTTCTAGCATGTACATGTCGGACATATGTACTAAGCATTATGCAAAGGTATCAGGAACTACGCAAAGCATTATGCAAAGGTTCAAACATGCTATGGTTGATGAAATGGTTGTTTCACACTCTAGTGATGCTTGGAAACTTGTCCCCTACCTTGTGGCAAAATGATTGTTGGATGTCACTTGTCCGAGAAAAAGGTTCTTTCAAACAAGATTTCTATCGGTTTTGTCAATTAACAGCCAATTAGCTGGTATATTTACTAATTCCTTTGAGGGGGAGTGTTGGAAATAAGGACATGGCCACATGTATAAGTTGTTAGAATTAAGCACATTATAATGAATATATTCGCTATTACTGACTCGTAGGTGATGAGTGCTGATTCAATACAATTTAGGAGTTGATTACCCTTATATTTTAGAGTTAACATAATATAAATATATCCATATGTAGACTGATTAGTCACAAATATGCTCCCTCTAATTCTATATGATTTAATATGTTCTTTGTATTGCTATATATTCTCTGATTAGTTACAAAAACTAAATGTGCTTCTGCTTTCAGACACCTGGGGAGACAAGTTTCCAAATTCTGACCCTGACTGGGACCTGATCATTGCGAGTGATATCTTATTGTGTAAGATTATTATCTTCTATTCTACTATCTTTGTTAACCATTATCCTTTTTTAAAATAAATATTAATTCAGTGCTACTAATGCAACTTATCCATCAAGGGAATAGCTTAAGAATTATTTGATGCGGAAGATAGAAAATAAAATATCCATTGCCTACAGTGCTTACTGGTTTGTACACCATTAAAATTACCACTAATATTCCTTGCAGATTGAAATATTTAAAAAATTAAAGTTACTAGAAGGAAAAATAGCAAGATCTCAAGTTCTTATTCAAATTTCTTGAGTTCTCTGCTGAGTTGGTAGCACTTTATAAATAATTATAAATAATTGTAGTGCTGTGACAAGCCTAGTGCATTATTGATCTTCTAATTGTGAAGATGTTTTCTGTTATATTATGATTTTAGATGCAATGTCCGTCTATCTTGAGCTGTCACTAGGTGGTGACTGTTTCTTGGAATGCCAAGATTGGTGAAGTCGAAACTGGCATGGATCTAATTCGGGAACCATTTTCTGAATTTTATGGTTGTTGAAAGAAGTGAACTAGTAGTTTCTATTGTCTTTTTCTTTTCAAGATAATGATTTTCTTTTCATTAAAGATAAAATGATGTTAAATTGTAATACTTGTTTAACAAATATTCAAATATGTCAATTACTTTCTTCATATTGTAATATTTAATTGTATTTAGATTTGTTCTTGTGAACCTAAATGAAAATTTCTTGTTGAAACATTTAGAAGAAACTACCTTTTCAGGGAGAGTGGATGGCATTTTGGCCCTGACCGCATGTCCACTTTAGGGTTACTAGACAATTTTCCTGATCATCATGCTCTGGGAATTGTTTTAATTTGAGTTTCTGATCTCTTTTCTTGTGGAGTTCTATCCTCTTTCGTATCTTTCATAAAGAAAAGAACAATTATTTGTGATGAAAGCCGTCTCTAATATGTCTCTCTCACATCTTGAATGTTTTGGTAGATGTGAAACAGTATGCAAATTTGATACAGACCATTTCCTTTCTTCTCAAATGTTACAAGCCCAGAGATAGGAAAGCAGTTTCTCCAACTTTGAATGATGGTATTTAGTTAGATTCTCTTTTGATCAACATGCTTTAGCTGCTCAAGTTTGCATCTTTACTGAATCTTGTGGTGGCAGGAGATGTAGTGTTGCCGTGGCCTGCCTTTTTAATGAGCTGGAGACGTCGAATCGGGAAGGAAGATGAATTGCTTTTCTTCAATGGTTGTGAGAAAGCTGGTCTAGAAGTGAAGCACATTGGATCCCGTGTATATTGCATCAATCCCATAGGAAATGAGAAATCAAACACAGAAACTTGATTCAAGAAACTAGTATTCAAGCATGCCTAGGAGGAGAATGAAATGGAAATTGTAAGGTTGGTCCATTAACAAAGTTTCCTCAGGTCATAGTTAGCTTCTGTAGTTTAATTTGCAGCTCCTATTTAATAACAGTTATATCCACCTTAAAACTTTCCTTTAATTTGAGCTGAGAGTAAATATTTGTTGAGATATATAAAAATCATTAATGTAGCTTCACCCAACAGCTTAAGCTTTTTGGTTGAATTGGTTCTTTACATGGTATCAGAGCCTCAATGTACCGGGTTCGATCCTCACCGCCCCTCACTTTCTAGTAGAATTTCTTTCTTCGTACAAGTAGGTGGGCCTGCATTATCCACCCTTCAAGCCCAGTGGGCTTTCGTTTGAGGGAGCGTGTTGAGATATATAAAAATCATTAATGTAGCTTCACCCAACAGTTTAAACTTTTGGGTTAAATTGGTTCTTTACAATATTCATTTCTTGGTTTTGGTTATAATCACTGTTAAGATCATGTAACTTTATAAATCTCTTAGTTTAGTAATTCAAGGTGGAGACATTTGCTCTCTTAGTGTAACTGCGTTCCTAGTATGCTTCCCTTGAAAATTATCATTATTTTTTAAGATTATAAGTCTGGTAATTTAGTTGAGTGTCGAGCCTTCTATCACATCACATGCGAATTACAAGGTTTGGTGGATCTCCCAAGGATTGGCATGGTGTCCCTTTTTTTTTTTGGTTCTTTTTTGCTAACTTAATATTAATTTATAACGTCATGAGATATACGGTATCTAAAGAAAATGACTCTTGCAGTGACTTTGTTTTTGCTGAAGATGACAAAGCTGATATTTCTTTTTTTTTTTGGTGGTTGACAAAGCTGATATTTTAGCCACACTGGTGTGGGGTTATTATCTTTTACATGTACGAACCTTTGGAAATTTGACTCTGTAGCTTGAGCTTGTTTTGCTAATGGTTTCTTTTAACGAAAATGTTTCTGTCGAAAATTTTCGACGAAAATATTAATTCTGTAAAGAATATTGATGACAATTTTTTTTTCATCAAAAGTTTTCGAAAGAAATGTGTTTCGTGAAAATTTTTGATAGAAATATTTTTCGTCAAAAAATTTCGATGAATATCTTTTTTTGTGAAATGTTTTGACGAAATTTATATTCCGTAAAAAAATTCGACAAAATTTATTTTTCGTCAAAATATTTTACAGATATGTTTTCCGTAAAAATAACGTGAAACAATTTCTATAGGAATTATTTCGTCTTGAAAGTTCCAAAACAATGAAGATTCTTGCAAGAAATAGTTGGTCAACTATCTATAACCGGGAGAAACAAACGATTACTTATATAAATAGCACAATCCAACAAAAATCCATTTTGAATTTGTTAAAAAACTGTTTTTGAACTTGATAACCGGTTTTGATTTAAAACCGGTTTTAAATTAAAACCGGTTTTAAATCAAAACCGATTATGAACCATAAACCGGTTTGGACAGATTAAAAACCAGTTTTTTTTTAAAAAAGTGGTTCGGTTTAAAATCCAAACCGTTTAAAACTGGTTCGTTTCGGTTTTTGACAATAACCGAACTGAACCGCTCCATGCACTATGTGAAACTGATAGAGCAATTGAGTAGAAAATCAATTTTTTCATTTATTGCTCATATGTTTTGTTCTAGAATTGTTATTTTCTTTAGTCAATAAAATCTGTTAAACTTTTATTTATATTGAAATGAATTAAAATCAATAAAGAGTACTTATTTAATAATACTTAAATATATACTTGTTTTGAGTATATACATTATATATATATATATGAAAAAATATTTCTCAAGCAGCTTGAGATAAGTTTATCTCCGGCTATTCCAAAACTGCGTCGTTTTATTTAATTATTTCTTTATTTTAATTGATTCACCTTTGAATGGTTATGATTCTCTTTTTCTCTCTTCCTTTATCACCATTGATCCATCTTTGTACAGTTATGATTTAGTAGCTTGAGAAACGATAAGCCCATAAATAAATATATATATATATATATATATATATATATATATATATATATATATATGTGATTTTAATGTTTCTAAAGCAAAAGTAGATGAGTTATTTACATTTGCGCCCAAAACGACGTCATTTTGGGTTAAAAAATTAAAAAATTAAAATAAAAATATATTAAAATCGTGAAATAAATTATAATTTCAAAAACATCTTGATTTTCACCTCAAAACGACGTCATTTGGGGCTTAATGTAGATAAATTATCTACATTGACCGTAGAAAAACGAACTCTCTATATATATAGGAAAAATTAAAAATTCAGTCACTAGACCGTCCAGTGCACTAAGTTCTCCCGCGAGAACTTAGTGCAATAAATATTACATTGGTGTTCTTCAGGTGTTCTCCCAGGAGAACATAGTTATAATTTTACTATAACTGTGTTCTCGCGGGAGAACATAGTGCACTGGACCGATTTTTACATTCAGTCACTGTACACTCACTAAACCCTATATATATATATATATGGGAATTAATTTTCTCATTTTACATGAGGAATATTTCTCATGTTACACTCAAAATATATGAGTGGGGTCCACAAAAAGGTGGGAAGACAAAAAAGTCAAGATGGGACCCACTCATGTATTGTGAGTATAGCATGAGAAAATTTTCTCATGTAAAATGAGAAAACTATTTCCCTGTATATATATATATATATATATATATATATATATATATATATATATATATATATATATATATATATATATAAGTAAAGATCCTTTTATATTGGTGTAAGTTATACTTTCAATCTTGATCATTGATTCTATTTGTCTCTAACGGTTCTGATTTATTAAATATTTGAGCCGTTACATGCAAGCAAATCAATAATCAAGATTTAGTATAAAATTTCTTATTTTTACACCGATGTAATAATATCTCGCCCTTGTATATATATTGCTTCCATAATCAATGTATTTCAAATTACATAAGCATTCCTTTCTAGTGCCACAAAAGAATTAACAGGTTGTCGAGAATATGAGAGAAGAAAGAAGAAGAAGTAGAAGGAAACAAGTTACTTGTAGAGATTGGCGAGGGTGGCATATTAGGATCAAGTCATCTTTAATTTGAATGAAGAAGAGGAAGCTTCGTAGAAATTGCGAAAGTGATCAGGAACACACAGAGGCATGCGGTGTTCAGAAACACATGCATGTGGGGGCATGCTTGCAGGTGAAAACAATGTGGCTATTGGGTACGTTGGAAGGTGAGGATTATATATATATATAGCAAGATAGTGATGGGACTGCAACCCATTATGGTGATGTTTTTTTGGATGCAAGTGATAAGGTGATAAGAGTGGGAACTGAAATAAGGAGTTTGAGAAGTTAGGGAGTTCTCAAACATCAACCTCTATTGATAAGGACAACAACAAAAGGACATTGATATTATTTTGTCTCTATTTAGCATGTGAGCCTCTCAAGGCTTAGCCTTTGTGACAGTGAGATATATATATATATGCATACAACATAACATATATTATTTATGAAGGTGCGGTTATATATAATGTATAGAAACATTTATTGTCTACCAAACAAAACAATAGAGCATCGATTAATGATTATGCATGGTGCTACACCATTTCAGGGAAGGAAAATTAATTTTTGGTGGGATTTTCTGATGCATTAATTCAATCTGAGGTAACAATCATGAAATGACAATTATTTTTTGAACACAAGGAAATTTTTAGCATATCTTTTTTTTTTTTTTTTTGATTTAGCATATCTTTCTTTAGTAGAATGAGAGCTACTCCTTTAATAAAAGTAAGATAAAGTGGACATATATGATATTAATCATAAAAGAATAGGTAGAATAATTTTTTTTTCAACTTTAGTTACTGATTAACTAAATCTTTGGTACAACCACCGAAAATATTTTCGGAAAATTTCTTTGTAGAGAAAAAGGCTCTGGTCTTCCAGTAATAGGTATTTTCTCCCACGGTTTATGCTAATTTTATTTCCTCCAAGTTTACAAGGTTTTAACGAGGAGAGAGATTATAGTTATGACCTCTTTTTCTTACTACTAAATCGTAACCGTTGATTTCCGTCAATTAACGGTTATAATTTATTGGGTCAATATACTTATTAATTAATTATTAATTTCTAATGAATTATAACCGTTAGATTAATTGAAATTAACGGTTACAATTTAGTAATAACTGTTGGGCTTCCTCCTTCAATGCTAAGCCCAAGTCCATTGAGGGGTTTTCCAAAAACTCTAAACCTTAAACCCTAAAATTTCACCTCCTCTATATATTCATTAGTTGTGGGTGGAGGCTAGGTTAAGAGATTAGAGAAAAAAATTTAGAGATAATTATTTGATTGTTTGAGCAAAGCTTCATGCTTTGCATTTGAGAGATCTCTAGAGAGAGTTTGAGTGAAACATCTCTAGGGTAGTTTGATTATCACCATTGTTGGAGAGGTTGAGTTAACCACCACATATGTGTATTTGATTCTTTGTAACCATTATTTTCATAGTGAATTTTTGATCTGGACTAGGTCCCGTGGGTTTTTACTTCTTCATTGAAGAAAGGTTTTGCACGTTAAATCTGGTTGTGTTCTTCTTCTTCTTCTCTCTCTCTCTCTCTCCTGTTTTTCGTTTTGATTTTTTCACTGCGCTGCCCGACTTGGTGAAGTTCAGGCCGAGGTATTGCCGAGATCAGGAGCTTGTTGATTGACTTCCGCACAAAGGCTGCTTAGTCGAGCTTGAGGGAACCGAGTTTCCAACAGTGGTATCAGAGCCCGAGTTCGACGGGTTCTGAGGGAGAGGAAATGGAGACCAGTGGCATAACCAATGATGGAGACATGTTCAAGTTGACCGTAGATAATTTCACCTATTGGAGACCGATGATGGAAGATCATCTCTACTGCAAAGATTTACATGAGCCCATTATCCTTGATGAGACACCGGCAGGCAAAACTGATAAGGAGTGGGAGATCCTAAGTCGGAAGGTGGTAGCCACGATCAGAAAATATATTGATAAAAGCCTCTTTGAGCACATGTCAGAGTTCACGAACTCGTATGAGTTGTGGACGAAGCTGGAGTCCATGATTCAGAAGAAGACTCCCAGGAATAAAGCATACCTAGTTCGCCGACTTGTGAAGCTTGAATACAAGGACGGCATGAGCATGATTGAACACTTCAACACCTATAAAGGTATTGTGAATCAGCTGTCAAAAGCTGAGATG